AAAACACAACAGCTTCGTAAGGCTCTGGGCATGGCACCTCTTCTTGTCCCGGAGCACGGCATAAGCCATGAAGCGTAGATTTTTGAAGCCCTTGCTCAACGTATTTGTCGAGATCCGCCTCTGTAACGCGGGATCGACCTATCCGATACATAACAGGTATTAAAGCAAGCTGGCCCTAGACGGCGGCTGGCACTGGCCCATCGCTTTCGCCTTCCTCACCCTCCTCCATGATCTCGGCATCGACAACAGTCTCCTCGTCGGCCTCAACACGCAAAGGGCCACGGACGCTCTCGGCATGAAGTGTTGATGCCGCGTTATTGTCTAGAGTATTCCGCGTTTGAGCTTCCATTCTTTCAGGCATGCCTTGTGAACTAGTGCGGGATTCCGATCTAGAACTGTTAGATGAACTCCCGTTGGGCGAACTGGCGCCAGACGTCGACTCACTTGACATCTATCCAAGCGAATTCCATACCAAAACCCGAAGCGAAAATAGTAAATAGGCAAAAAAAGCGAATATGAACTTGCAAAAAGGATCGGCGAAGGCTGGAGTCTTGGCCGAAGCGAGCAAGAAAACGAAAACCCGAGTGAAGAGACGAAGGGCGAAAGCGTAGCTCTCAAATAAGGGTTGAAGGTGAGACAAGCGTGCACGGGTCCATTGGCTCGGCAGGGGTTTATATAGGCACTTACTGGGCCTGGCGCACGAATTGAGGAAACAACACGATGGTTCGTTTAATCACCGCGACGGTTCGAATTTCGAGAAACAATTATACGGCACGATAACCGAAAAACGGTTACACGCCTATTAAAAAATAATAATATATATAACAATATAATAATAATAATAATATAATAATAATAATAATAATTATTATTATTATTATTATTATTATTATTATCACCTCAACACTAATAATTATAACAAAAATAAATACACGCACATATACGTGTATAGCAACAGCACAAACCTCCACCCTTCACCTGGGACGGCGTTTGAGTCCCACCGCGAGACAGTCCCATAAATTCACAAGGCAAACGCGCTCGGATCGAGGGCCTCCTCGTGCATTTCCGAGGGGCTAATGTTGGGGGCGTGCCCCGCCTATGGGCACCTTGTGTGGCTCGAACGCCGTCCCGGCTTCTCGTGGAAGCGAAATAACGGGAGTTGGGCTCTGGCGCACTCGGCATTTCGCTATCATAAAAGGCGAGAGGGCTGACCATGTGTGAAGAGAAGGATGTGTCGAGCCCCCTTCTCCTGCAGTGAAGTAAGGGCGGCGCTTGTCGTCCCATTCTTAGATTTCCCTTCTCCCTATAGCGAAAGGGTGGACTCTGCGGCCGGGATCAGGTTCCGCCAAAGTAGGGCGCGCAGGCGGTCTCGGCTATTCGCTCAGGCGAATAGCTGTTAATGGTTTGGTCGACCGTTTCTGCAGGTTTCGGCAATGGAGGGCGCACAGGCGGTCTCGGCTATTCGCTCAGGCGAATAGCTGTTAATGGTTTGCTCGATTGTTTCTGCAGGTTCCGCCAAAGGAGGGCGCGTAGGCGGTCTCGGCTATTCGCTCAGGCGAATAGCTGTTAATGGTTTGGTTGATAGTTTCTGCAGGTTTCGCCAAAGGAGTAGCCACCCGCCTTCGCACGGCCGATAGCTTCTGTCGCCAGGGGCCCCCGCGGTCGGTTGGACAGGCGACATAAGGCGGAGACAGTCGGGCCTCCCCGGGCCGGTGTTATCCAAGGAAGGCGGGCACTCCAAATGACGAACAAGCCCAAAGTTGCATGGAATATTCTTTGAATTTATAGTAGTTGAGAGGACATTTACTTCCTATGAAAAACCTACGGGTATGTATAAATAGCCCCCGTTGAGGGACTAGCAAGGGGGAAACAAGTTCAATAAAATCGATCGTTTTGTTTCCCTCGAGTCTCGCTTTGTCTATTTCTCATGCTTGATTTCACTTGAGCGGCAACCGGTGTTCGAAGGCCTTGGCCTAGAACAACAAGATCTCTTTTTCCTACAATTTTCAAGAATATCTCAAAATATACCTCTTCTTCCCTAAAGAATAGAGACATCAGGACCTCTATCTATGGTCCCACACTGAACTATCGTACAACAGCTAGTGTACAGGCCATTGTATGCCCACGACTGCAACTATGCCCCAGACCGCCGATCGCCTGCGACATGCATCAAATGCTTCCTCGCGCCAGCTGCGCCTCACACCGCAAGTCGCTTTGCACCCATGGCCGCGCCTCGCCATCGCACCGCCATGTGCCTACAGCTGTGCCTCGCACCACTGGCCACCGTGTGCCTATAGCCACACCTCGCACCACCAGCCATCGTGTCCTGAATCAGCGGTGAAAATGATTTTCACAACCGGTTCAAGAAAAAATCAATTGTGAAAAATCGGAGCAGGTTGTGCTGTGTTCACTTCCCTCTCCCACGGTGTGTTTTCTCTAGCATCCATGTGCTTTTTATTGCTGGCTGACATGCGGGGTCATCGACCAACGTGTCGCCAGACGAATAGACACGTGGGAATCACGCGGATTGTCATAGCCACAAACCCCCTCTCCTCTATCCTCAGTGGCTCAGTGTGTTCTCTAACCTATATGTCTCCTCTCTCTCTCTTTTCACCTTTCTCTCCCTGCCTGAGAAAGCTCCTCTCCCTCTCCTCAACCTCCTAGGGGGCGACGGAAACCTGGGCGTGTAGCTGGGCATGGCAACTCGGTATGTAAAAAAACCAAATAGTATACACCAGTTCCTAGTGACGCGAAAACAAAATACGTCTCTAATATGTAATTACAGGCGCGTCTTACCAAAACGCGTCTGTGATATGTTGTTAAAATGCGTCTGTGATGTAAATGCTTACTCAAAGATGCGTGAAACAAATCCATGTCACAAGGTACTATAGCGCGAAGCCGAAAAAATGGTTAACTCTGGCATACGGCGCGACTCTTCACATCCTCCCAAAGACCCGAGACCGAAAGTCCCTAGGCTACCCCCCGATGAACCGAGACCCCAAGTCCCCTCCTCTCCTCTCTCGTCCCTTCTTTCTCGATCCGTCTCCCTTTCTCCCTCTCTGGTTGTTATCCACAAGCGGCGGTGGTGGTGGCACACACCCATGGCTCGATAAGCTCCTGCTCCACCGGCAGCACCCGGAGCAACATCACCACGACGTGGTGGCGGCGGCTGGACCCTGGTGGCCAGTGAGAGCACATCCATTTGGACTCTTGGTATTGGGGTGGTCGCCTAGTGGCCTAGTGTAGTGGCCGAGGGAGAGCGACACCTGTCACAGGTGGCCTAGCGCGGTGGTGCCCCGGTGGGAGCACCCCGACGGCCTCTAGATCTCGACGCAATGAATCTTAGCAGTGGACGCACCGTGGTGATGTCCCCCAGTGCGGTTGCTCCAGATCTTGGTGCAGCAGTGGCGGGCGACCAAGCCTTGCCGTGTTGGCATCTCGGTGCAAAAGGCGGCCCTTGCGCGCGACAGTGGTTTCCGCGGTGCTGACCCTTTGTCCCCGTTGTCACGAGTAGTTACGGAGGCCAGCGGTGATGTCAACTTATCACCACCCTGGGGTTACTCAAGCCAGTGGTGATATGAACTTACCACCACTGATTATCACCAATCAGGATAAAAACTGATGGTGATGAGGCTTCCTGATCTGACTGTGATGAACAATCTGTGTACTAGTTTATTAATGCAATAGATAGATTCTGGAAAGGAGGGAGTAGTAGAGGGACTTTTTTCATATGCAAAGTGAAATTCAACTAGCTAAATGGGAACCAGCTAAACATGTCGAGGAGTAGTCATCTTTGACTTTTCTTTTTTTTTGCGACTGTCGTCATCTTTGACTTCAAAATGAATGGTGGCACTCTAATCTCCTGGAGATGACTAGGAGAACAGCAAAACCCGATTCTCAAGCAAACGTCCATCTAGACCGATTGATCTTTGCATCTAAACTTGACAAGTCCACGTGTGCATTGCCCGATATATACACACCAGATTACTACTACTACTAAAACCAGCAACTGGACGAGTAAATCACGGACGCCTCGGCGTACATGCACCGCCTGGTGCTGTGGCCAATTTAAAAAACGGCTGTACGCCGGGTATACAGGAATGGAGGGAGTAGCATGGTTTTAGTCATTTCCACATCCATGGTTGTTTGGAAATCTTGAAAATTTTGAATTTAAAAATATGAGAACTTCAAATAGAATTTGCTGCATCCAAATTATTTCTAATGAAACAGCTGTCAAATACAAAGTTGTATATCTCAAGATATACAGCTTTGATATAAGGATTGTCTTCATCCCACTTCATTTGAAAAAGTTATGAATTTTACTGTGTTACACCGATTTTTAGAAAAGACATAGATCTAGCCACCTATATTAATTCATTTGTAGAGGAGGTTACATCAAGAGCCGCGTCTAAAGATAAGGGCATTTGCAAAGGCGGCTCAAAATACCAACCGTCTCTACAAATGTATTTCTGGAGGCGGCTCTAGATGGAACCATTTTTAGATGCAGCTGTAGATTGAGCCGCCTTTACTTCGAAAAAGCCGCTGTTTCTATAAGTCATAAAGGTAGCAGTGTAATATATATTTGAGTTGTTTTTGTCTTTTGTTCAATCATCGGCGGTCACTACACCACAACACCAAGATTAGCGATGGACGGTCTGACGCTAAAAGCGGCTACAGCGACAGACAATCTGACGTTAAAAAGTTATAGCAACAGACTTCTGCAGACACTGTAAGCCCTGTCGCTAAAAATCTTTAGCGTCAGACAGTCCGTTGCCCTGAATTTTTTTAGCGACAGATAGTCCATTGCTACTTTTTGACGACAGATGCTCTGTTACAAGACATATACCAACAGATCATCCAACAATTCATGTATTTATAGCGACAAATTGTTCTACAGGACAATATAAATATAAAAAAAATACAATGAGAAAATATGTAGCACATATCATACCCAGATTCAAGCTTAAGGTCCATCACATAAAGATATAAAAACACATACATCACATGGAGATCAATACATATATAACATACAATCTTGTCTTGCACGGTACATCATCCAACAAGGTCTTGCACAATACATCATTTGGATCTGATACACTTGTAGAACTAGTAATCAGACTAGATACAGGAGGGCAGTCGAAGGTACCAGAACAGCTTGGGCATGATAAACGCAGTGGCTCACAACCACGATATCTGTCATTAAAACACAAGAATATTTGAATAACTGAAATACTGCAACATTAACGAAATTGATATGTTAGAGGTTTACCTCTCATCTTCATCATTGATTACAGATAACAGCATCGTAGATGTATCTTGATTGCTAGACTCAGTCACTCTTGATTGGAACTGATCTAGGTAATAAGAATCAGCAAACTCTATATTGAAAGAAATGATGCCAATCATTTAAGATATCGAAGACTCAACAGAAAATACGCACCTTAGCCGAATCAAGTCCCAGACATTCAGCCAGACGAGCTGGACTAGTACCCTGAATGGAAGCACACAGACGAGAAACAACAAGATGAATATGCAAAGGTAATTTAGAATCAGCAACACTATATATACTATAGCATATGGAAAGACGACTGTATTTTTCCAAGAAGGGAAAATGTATTGCAATGGTGAAGAACCTGTTGTGACAAACAATAGTCAATGTCAATCATCCACTTGTCAGGGTCTCTTTTTAACTCCTCGGGATGTCTAGCTCTCTGAGCTATTCCCACAGAATGTGTATTATCTGAGTCCTATACAGAATGGCAAGTACAGTTTAGGATCAGATAAATCAAGCTTCAAACAAAGCTAAACTAGGATGTTTTTCAGGCAAAAAATTATATATTTTCCTTTTTCCTGAATTTACACTGCAGGTAAACAAAAAGTTCTGACTACTCCCTCCATTTATCCATATTCTTATCTTGTGAAGAAATGTTTCAAAATGTTAGTTCAGCAATAAAATCAAGATTGTGAGTGGTTGTAAAATGTGAATATCATTAGAGATATGTGTTGGTCTCTTTTTATAACTTTGATAAGATTTAGTGCTTTCTGGTCTGTATACATGATGAGCTTAGCCTTAGAGGCTTGGACAGATTGTGAAACAAGAGTACCAATCAGTGTCATATGACAGGTTGACAATCCAAAATTTTGCAATGTGGATAAGCAATTGATGATTTAGTGAGCATGCAAAACATAAAAGACATCATTTAGTAATACCTGCTGAGAGCAAATTATATAAGGGACTGTGTCACCAGCTGAGCAACCAGAGTAACCATTTTGCTTGAGTCTCAAAGCAACCTGAGGAACCAAGTTTACACATTTATTAGCTCATCACTTTTCTGGCTTGAAATCAGGACAAAACAAAACATGGATATGCAACTCTTACATGAACATGAGGCTGATTTTTAGCATCTGGATAATCTTCTGGCGCTTTTGTTAAGCTCTTTGTGATAACATATTTTTTGAAGACCTTAATTTGAGTGAGTGAGTCTTAACTTCCTACCCATTTTGTTTTAATAAGAGCTGGATTGCATCGAATGGACTACAGTCTTTCAGATTTAATTGCGGCTATGTCACTTACTATTGTTGTGGTTTTCAACAAATAGTTGGAACGAAGAAGCTGCTAAACGGATTGGGGACTGCTACTGGTATTTAATTTTCCATATTTCCAAGACTCTCGAAGAATTTGTGTCAAAGGATGTTGCTTCACCCGTGGCAATTGACTGTTTCAAGGAAACTGTAAGTACAAAGTTCATGACATACTAGAAACTAAGCGCGGCATTGCCGCGCGCTTGTCTGTGTTGGGCCAGCCCGCATGCGTGAGTGAGTTTATACCGAGACAATCAGTGTGGGATCAGCCCATTTGCTTGCATTACATCTTGATAGAAATGATTGTATACATATTGATGTAAATAATGTGTATAAGATGGTTCTATTTGTAGAAGAAATATAATCATGAAAACTCTATGTACGTGGCACTAAAGTTGAGAATGCAGTTGCTTAACTTGTTGCATAGATACTGAAGCATATTGATTTATGTAAAAGGTACAGATATTGTTGGAGTAAGGAAAAACTAAAGCATTGATTCGAGGTGTGTCTATAACTGAGAAAAAGAAGGCGTGTCTATAACTGAGAAGAGAAGAATAAACGGAGTTTTCTTATGTAAAGGTATTGTACCGCTCTTTTCTAGGATTGCAAGTGCACTTGCTTGCTCACCAACAAGGACAACCGTAAAAAAATAGGGCTGATGCGCCTAATACCGAAATTTCAGATTTGCCAACATCCATCCTTGCTAGGGTGCATCACCGCTGACAACCTGAGGCTGTAAAACAATCTTCTCATATGTAAGGTGGACCTTAAGGTGGTAACAGAATCTTATATCACCTATAAGCAGAAACAAAGGAAATTATATTGGTGAGGTATTATTGATCACATTTGGACCGGTAGTGGGAAGAATAACTTGAGAAGAATATTATGAAATTCCATTATTGAAACTGGTCATGTTTTGCTAGGCTCATGTAAAATTATTTTTATGTATTTAAAAGGTTAAGATCCATGCTTAGTAAAAGCAAGAAAATTTTGGTACAGGACATGTAAAATGATGTCGAGTTAGTGGTGAATACAACAAAACACTCTGGCTTCAAGGTAAGGGCGCGTTTGTTTCTGGACGTGCTTTGCCTTGCTTTGCTGACACGGGAAACGATAACCTTGCCCAGGCAAGCAAATTCATCGCCTTAATTTCAGTCCGTAAATGCTAAATGTTTTGCCACCTAACCTCATTTGGTCAGCACAAGTTAAGATCCTGGCAATAAACATAATAACATTGCACGTAACAGTGCTGCCAAGGAATGTCTTCCAATATATCCTAACCATTTGAGTAGCAATTGCAAGACCATTAGATCATGCTTGAATAAAACTATGTTTATGTGCATTAGAGAAAAATAGCAGTATTCTTTTAACATAAGGGAGAGAGGGAGCGAGCAAGAGAGACACTTTACAGAGGCAAAGGCAAGAAATCATTACCTTTCATAGATGATGAGAACATGTGTATAACATGTGGCATACTGACATGTGATGGGAATTGCAGTGGTTGTAACATATACACATCTAGGTTTCATCAGATGTTCAGGATTATAATGGTAAGCCGCTGTCAGCATTGAAGACGTTGCTCGTACTCTAAAAAGTAATAGTTCCTTCACGTAACATCAATCTTAACAGTTAACTAAAAAGCATTACAAACAATAGACAGTAGTGCACCTTAGACTTGTTGCAGATTAATTTGTTTTTACTGTTAAGTTTTAAGACATGTTTTGCTCTGAGATGCCCATAATCAGATGAAAATGCACAAAGATCACACCTTTTATTATTTTATAGGAACAATGATGCTTGTTCATCACATCCACTACTGAAATCTGATTTGGGGATTAAAAATATAAGGAAATAGAAAGAATCCAAATAGCTGAAGATACCTTCCGACCCAAGTCTGCACGCTCAAGCTTTGACAGTGACAGTCCAATTCCACGAACTTCCTTCACGTCTGGAATGTGAGATTAAAAGCATGTTTCAGTGCATTTGAGAAAAATAGCAGTATTGTTTTAACATGAGAGAGAGGGAGGGAGAGAGAGAGCGATTTAAAATTTATAATATAGGGTACTTCACACTTTGCAATGGTAAAGCTGAGAAATTATTAGCTTTCATTGATGATGAGAACGTTTATAACATGTGACGTACTGACATGTGATGGGACTTGCAGTGGTTCTAACATATAGGTATCAAGGTTTCATCAAATGTTCAGGAATCAAATGCTAAGTCATTGTTAGCATCGAAAACGTCACTCTTACTCTAAAAAGTAACAGTTCCTTCAGGTAGCATCAGGCATAATAGTGTAACTGAAAAAGCATCTACAAACAATAGGCAGTAGTGCACATAATATGGTGTGAACACACCATAATGTCATTATTTTGTATACCTGGCTAGATTGCCTTGCAATATATTATCAGTGTAGCTATGGTATGATGAAAATAAATTAAAATTATATTTTACTGTTGGCTGTGATTTGAGTGCGTGCTATGATTACCAGAGTTTAGGTCGACAGATGATGCTCCATGTTGAAACAGCTTGGTCCTATATGTGGCCACTCTGAACTCCTTCCGTGGTGCAGAGTCTACAAGTCAAATTGATTGGTAGCATTTCCTGCAGCACGAAGGAAAACCAATGGATATTTATGTACATGCATACTGAAGCTGGAAAGATAGCACCTGATGAGGTATACATAAGTAGCACAAAGGAATAGTTAGGTGACTGCAAGGCGCCAACCTGACGAAAAATTAGCAAGAAGAGCCCTTTTGGGCATTTCATCAAGCACTTGAAGGGCACAGAACACCAAAAGCAAAGGAAGCATCAGATGGGGAGCTCACAGTGCACAGAGATGAAGGAGAAACAATCGAAGACACACCACAGAGGAAATGGCAGTGTACCTCGCCATGGATGGTAGATCAGGGCACGGGTGTCATCCGCGCCACGTGGGGAGGTGCGACGGCGGGTCAGGCATGGGAGCGGCCCTGGGGTGGACACGATGGCGAGCGGAGGCATTGCGGGAGGGACGATGGAGAGGCAGAGGGGACGGTGGAGGCAGAGGGAGGCACGAGGGAGAGAGGCAGGGAGAAGCTCGCTGCGTCTGCTGCGGCGGCGGAGGAAGGGCAGCGCGGCGTCGCGGCGTGTGTCCGAGCGGCCCTGTTTTGCCGTCGCAGCGTGGGGGGCTGAGGTAGATGAGGCCGAGACGACGGAGCTGCAGCGCCAGGTCGGGGGGCACCGGCCGGGGGCCGTAGATGCCGTGTCCGTGCCTATCGGGACCCGCTGGTGAGGTAGAGGGTGGGACGACCGTCGCCAGGGGCCGACCGTGGACGACGTCCCACCTCGGTGTCGTCAGGGAGCCCCAGCACGACGCACCAGATTTGGAGGAGCACGAGGGGGAGAGGAGGTCACCGTCGGTGAGGGGAGGAGAGCTCGACGTCGTTGGTGAGGGCGAGGGGGAAGATCCAGCGAGATTTGGGGCTGGCCAGGCGGGTGCCATTTGGGAGAGGGAGAGGGTGGCGGCGCGCGGGCAGGTTTGGCGCTTCTGGATTTGGGATTTGGGCTAGGGTTTCTGTACTCATGGGCCAGGCCAATATTTGCCCGCGAGATGAATGTAAACGGGCACGCGAGCTGAATATGCGTGTGAGGGTGGGGCCCATTTATTTTTGGCGACAGACAGATTGACAGTATACCTCATTTTAGCGTCGGACAGTTAAACGTTAAATATGAGTACCTATGGCGACAGACAGCAAATCGCTAAATGAGTTGTCTGTGAGGATTTAGCGTCAGCTCATCCATCGATAAAAAAAAGTTTTAGCGTCAGATGTCTGATGGTGATATAGTGTTGTGGTGTAGTGGGTTGCTAGGAAAGTTCACGTGCCTCGTGCCTATTCGGACTGCCCAACTAACTACTCATCCTCATGTGATTACCTGTTTGTCATGTCATATGTTGTTTGTATATGTTGCATATTTTCTTTAACATGTACCATGTCTCTATATATTCCATCTATCTCCTATAAATGCACATCTCATATATCGAGAGATCAAACTTTTTTAACAGAGGCAGTCAATTTTCAGAGGCAGACATCTTAAGATGCCCGTCTCTAGAAATGGCTATTAAAAGAGATACCATTCCAAGCACTCGTGTATAAAAATTGATTGTCAGAGGCGGGCATCTTACCATACTTGTGTCTAAAAATAGTTTCGTCTAAAAACAATGCATAACTTTTTCGTATGAATTTGGATGAGGATAAACTTTATATCAAAATTCTTGCTCTTGACATGATCTACAACTTTGTAGTTGAAAGATTTTTTATTTGAACCTGTTTTAGAGACTACAAATATTGTTTAAAGTTCATGGATTTTGAAATTTGAAAAATTCAATCTACCTGAGATGTTGACAAGGTGTACACAAAAGTTGTTCTCAATACAATATAGAACGTTGTATTGGAAACTTTTTTTTATTTGAAGTCGTTTAGAGTCTCAAATATGTGTTTTAAGTTAATAGTTTTTGAAATTATAAATTTAGAATTTCCAAATAACCTTGAATGTTTACAAACTTAATACCAAAGTAGTAGTGACCACCTGGTATATATGTTCGTTGTTGGTAAGTTTTTAACTTGAAATTTTTAGTTTCCCAAATAATTTTTTTAATTCATATATTTTGATATTTAATTTTTTTTATTTTTTCAAACAATCTCCGACGCAGATACATTCTATACTAAATTAAGTCAAAGTGCTTAACAATATTTAATACTATATATTTAAAACTTTTTTTGTTTGAGTTCATTTAGTATCAAAATATTGAATACAATATTACAAAAGATTGATATAAAATGATAGCAGCCTATATATATAGTCAAAATTGAATTGCGGTGTAATAGTAGGGAGGTGTTATGGATGAGAAAATGGTTTTGGGTTCAAATCCTCAAAGATGTTGTAAGGGACCGTGACGTCTAAGAGAGGGGTGAATTATGCAACTTAAAACTCTAACTCTAAACTATGGTCTCTACTTCCACCTAGTCAAAACATATGCAAAAGATAAACTATCTAAATGTGCAACTATGGTTTTGCTAGTGTGTTGCTATCTCTACCGCAAAAAGGAGTTATGCAACCTAGATTCCAAACCTATCAACTAGCCTATCACTAAGCTAGGAAAGTAAAGCACAAACCAAGATTGCAATGTAAATACGGAAGCTAAAGAGTAAGGTAGAGATATGCAAACTCCAGTCAACGGCTCCGGTATTTTTATCGAGGTATCGAGAAGCGCGCAAGCTTCACCCTAGTCCTCGTTGGAGCCCCTCGTAAGGAATCCCTCGTAAGAGCCAAGCTCCCGGTTGGGTAACTCCGTGGATAGCCCTGGGCCTTCCCCACGTGCGAGTGGGTCTCTGGTGTGCCTTCCGGCAAGCCTCTCCCAGACTGCTCCCCACCGTCTTCACTACCAAGCTTCCGACCGCACCACAGCGGGCCTTGTTCCCTTCGGTACATGGTGGCAGCCACACCACAAACGCGGTTGGTGTGATCTCGTAAGACTACAAGCCCCTCCAATGTACAACAATGGTGCGCGCAAGCACCGAGTGGTAAGAGATGTGCAAACCTCACTAAACACTAGGCCTAAACCTAGAGCAAGCGCATAAGCGGTGGTCTAACTAACCTAAGCACTTCGCAAAAGCACCTACGCTAATCACCGAATGTATCACTAAGCACTATACAAGTGGATATCACTAAAATGGTATATCAACACCCTTGGTATGTTTTCTCAGCTCTCTACAACTCAAATGGGCAGTTGGGGGTCTATTTATAAGTCACATGGAGAAAGTAGTCATTGGGGACGAAACCTAGCTTTCTGCCATTGACCGGACGCGCCCAGTTGTCCCGACTGTTGAGCGCGCGCGTAGAGATCGGACGCACTGTCGAGTCCGGTCATTATCGATCGGACGCGTCCGGTCGTATTTGCGCCGCTCTGGAACCTCTCTGGACATGATCGGACGCTGCACTTTGTGCGTCCGGTCCTCACTGAGTTGTTGCCGCGACGATGAACAGTGAAGTCCGTGCGTCCAGTCACTGCCTCGCTCAGCGTCCGGTCACTGCTGCGGACACCTGCTGTTGCCGAGCAACTGATCGGCCGCGTCTGGTCCTCATAGGGCCGCGTCCGGTCACCTCTGTGGAGCTCGTTTCTTCATGATCTTGCGTCCGGCTTGGTTCCTATCTTCATGTTTGGACTTTGCTTGATATCTTGGATCTTCTCTTGTGTTTCTAGGGTCTTGCTTATGGTGTTGATCATGGGATCATCATGTCGCCTTCGTTCAAGTCACATCTTGCACCCTATTGAACTACAAAACAATTACTTGTAAATTCATTAGTCCAATTTGGTTGTGTTGGTCATCAAACACCAAAATCTAAAGTAAATGGACCTAGAATCCATTTTTCTTACAAATGCTAAATATAGATAATTTTGAGGTTTCTATTTGACCAATCCACTTCAGTAGCCCATACATCACTTTGATCAGCCCAATACATGCAAGATGTTGAGTGGCCAGCTGGTGCCACAATTTGACCATCCCAGATGGAATCCACTTTTGCTAAAGAGAAGATGGAATCCATTTAAGGGACTCCAAGAAATACCTTTATTGATATACTAATTAATGATAGTTCACATCAGAAATACAGAAAAAAAAACCATCCGGACTAAAATAAACCAATATTACTGCTAGAAGATCATATAAAAAATAAAAAGCCACAAGATCATCAATTTTGATTGCATTTATTTCCTGTGTTTCTTGCCTGCTACAAATGACAATACTATAGAAAGAATTTGTAGGAACGCCTTCTCTTTTTTTTTAGGGGGCTCTATATTGAGCCGGCCCTACAAATGGTTCCTAAACGAGCTGCCCATACAAATCTATTTGTATGGGCTACTGGTGTTATCAGCCGCCCCTACAAATGGTCATATTTGTAGCGGGGGCCTCCCCGTATTTGCCAGGTTGTCATACTGGTTGACTGACCGATGGGGACCTCCCTGGATTAAAAAAAATTCCTATTCTTTTGGCACAGATTTCAGAATTTTTGGAAACGAATTTGTATGGTCGGCTTTATATCCAGCCGCCCCTACAAATCGTGCACCGCCCCTACAAATACGATTTGTAGGGACGGCTAGCGAAACGCCCCTGTAAATCAGTAATTTGTAGCCACGCTTCCAAAGGGACGGCTAGCCAAACCACCCCTACAAATAGCCATGAATCGCCCCTACAAATGATATATGTAGTAGTGAGAGTAGCCCCTATAAATAAAGGGTGAGTTGGGTAATTTCACTTTGTTCTTATAACTATACTGTGGCCAAGCTCTTGGTGCCCTTTTTATTCTTAGAAAAAAGATCTTGTACCGTTGGTACAGTTTTGCTATGCACAATGTTATAGCATGATAAATACGTTGCATACACGTTGTGCTTGCCCATGACATACACATCAACAAACAACCACATCAAATATGTTCTTATTATGGGTACCAAATACATCCAAATCGACATAGCACAATGGAAACACTGATTATCACCAATCAGGATAAAAACTGATGGTGATGAGGCTTCCTGATCTGACTGTGATGAACAATCTGTGTACTAGTGCATTAATACAATAGATAGATTCTATAAAGGAGGGAGTAGTAGAGGGGCTTTTTTCATATGCAAAGTGAAATTCAACTAGCTAAATGGGAACCAGCTAAACATGTCGAGTAGTAGTCATCTTTGACTTTTTTTTTTTTTGTGACTGTCGTCATCTTTGACTTCAAAATGAATGGTGGCACTCTAATCTTCAAAATGAATCCTGGAGATGACTAGGAGAACAGCAAAACCCGATTCTCAAGAAAACGTCCATCTAGACCGATTGATCTTTGCATCTAAACTTGACTAGTCCACGTGCATTGCCCTATATATACACACCAGATTACTACTACTACTAAAACCAGCAACCGCACCAAACAAGCACGACACCGGGCACCAAAGCTGTTCAAAACCAAGCAGCAAAAAATGTGGAACCCGAAACCCCTTCTTGTCGTCGTCTCACTCTGCATCTCGGCGCTGTCGTCGCCGTGCACGGCAGCCAGTGGCGCCGGCAAGCCCTTGGTGGCCGCCGTCACCAAGGACGCGTCCACCTCCCTCTACACCGCGCCGCTCAAGGACGGCCACCCGCTCGTCCTCGACCTCACTAGCCCGGTCATCTCGCTGACGACGTGCACCTCCAAGAATGGCACGGTCACGACGCTCTCCGCGAACGCCACCGACGGCCAGAACCCGCTGTTCCCGGTCTCCTTCTCCGCCGTCGCCTCCTGCACGCCGCAGGCAAAGGTCCCAGCTGGTGCCGTCGGCGTCGCGGGCCTCGCGCCGTCGAGCCAGTCGTTCCCGGTGCAGGTGGCGCGCACGCAGAAGGTCGCCAACAAGATAGCGCTCTGCCTCCCGAGCGACGGCAAGTCCACGTCCGGCAACAGCGTCGGCGTGGCCATCTTCGGTGGTGGTCCCCTGTTCTTCATCCCGCCGGACCGCGGCGACTTCACCACGATGCTGGCCGGCACGGTGCCCCTCCACGGGTTCAACGGATCCCCCGGGTACTACGTCTCCTCCACCGGCGTCGCCGTGGAGCAGAACCGAGTTAGCACCTCCGGCGGCATGCTCGTCATCGGGCTGAGCTCGACGATTCCCTACACGGCGGTCCGGCCGGACGTGTACGTCCCCTTGCTGAGGGCTTTCGATGCGGCGGCCTCCGGGCCGAACTTCCCGTGGATGTCGAGGGTCACCGCTGTTGCGCCGTTCGAGCGGTGCTACGATTCGACGAAGCTGCCGCAGTCGCTCCTGGGCTACTCGGTGCCGCAGATCGACGTGATGCTGGAGGGCGGTCAGAACTTCACGGTTCTCGGCGGCAACTCCATGGTTCAGGTGAACGGCAACACGGCCTGCCTCGGGTTCGTCAAGGCGGCGGCGGGGCATGCGCCGGCGGCGGTCATCGGTGGGTTCCAGCTGGAGAACCACCTGCTAGTGCTCGACGTGGAGAAGAAGCAGCTTGGATTCACCACCTTCCTCAATGCCATCGGGCTTTCATGCAGCAACTTCAATTTCACTCTTGCCGCCTAGTGCAGTGCTGCTGAATGAATATTTATGCTGTGTTGCATACTGTAATAAGAACTTTTACTTCTGTGTCACGTTAAATAAATAATGGATGGGAATAAATTAGTTGGAGTGTTCCAGCTCCCAACAGATTGTGCAGGCCAGCTATCAGGTTGGCAGTTTGACCTTCCTATGACACGGATCGGATATGTTTGAATATTTAGGACGCGTATAAGTACTGCATCAGACAAAAGATGCTGCCACGTTAGTTGACTCCATGGTAGGTTAGGTTGCATGGGAGTACAAGTATTTTCCATGGAAAGTGTCCGCTGCTGCAGACTCCAGTCAATCCATCTAAGGCAATGTTTAGCTGCAGTCAGATCCATGTCAATTCGTATGTTTTTACATGGATTGAGGTGGAACTTAGGTGATTATATTTCGATATTGATATGGCTCGGGTGTTCGTCCTATGACTTCCCATTCGGAGGTGGCTCATCCTCATCCACTCGCCCGCGTGACTTCCCGTCCGGACCTTGTGGCTCATCCTCATTCACTCGCACGCGCCGCTCGTGCCGCTATGTGCTGTGTGCTCCTGCTCGTGGTCGCAGGACGGATTCTGGCCGCGTTGCTCACCGGTGCCACCCCCACCCGTACTCGCGCCTCCCGTGGCATCGAGTTCCGCACCGGTGTCGAGCACCACAACGACAAGCTCCATTCGTCCAAGTAGCAAGGTGACATTACACTTGAGCGTATGTTTAAGTGTTTCATATGTTTCAGAGGTATGTTGCAAGAGTTTCGTATGGATGTTGCAAAAGTACATCGGGATGTTGCAATGGTTGTACACGTATGTTGCAAACGTCTGTTTTCAATGTTTCATCTGTTTTTTTAGACGTATGTTGTAAGTGTGTTTATCTGGATGTTGCATACATTTTATCTGGATGTTGCGTATGCGTTGCAAATGTTTTCAAGTGTTTTTTTCAGGTGTTTTTGCAAATGTTTCAGATGCATGTTTTAAATATTTCATCTGTCTTCAGACGTATGTTGCAAGTGTTGTATCTGGATGTTTCAAAAGTAGATCGGGTGTTGCATGTCCCTCGCTTTTTGCTGCCTCGCCTTGGTGTCTCCTCCTCGCCTTCTGCTGCCTTGCATCCTTCTCAGACCGCGGAGGGGACGCAGCGAGGGCGGGCAAAGGGGGTGCGCCGGGGGCCAGGGGATTGTGGCGCCGACGCGAGCGCACACTGTCCCCTTCCGTTACGCGGGTAGCGCTTCAGTCTCCTTTCGTTTTCTATTTTAGGAAGGATGCTGAGATGGTCCCATTGGTGGGCCACGGCGCTAGCCCATGGTTCTGTTGACTGGGTACCAGGAGACGCTGCGTCTGGACGCGCCATGGGCGCCGGACATCCGGGTGCTAGCTAGTGCCCCGTTATATTTTATATCTCCATCTACTACAACTGCAACACATAAATCGAGGTGGATACGAGTATTAAGAAAGCGACGTTGCTTCAGCTTCCGCTCCCACGCCGGAGTCCTCCATGGAGTCCTTCCCGGCGGCCGGGACGGACCTCTTCCGAGGCGCACCCATCTTTCCTTATTCCTCAATCGGCGGCTGGTGCATCATATTCTTCCTAAGCCGGGAAGCCAAGGGAGGCCGGCGGCTGGTGCATCATCCCTTCTTCCTCTGCATTGAGGTACAACCACATAAAAGATAATGTACTGCACATAATAAATGACACATCCACGTTAGTTGACTCCATGCATGGTAGGTTAGGTTGCATGGAAGTACAGTTTTCCACGAAAAGAATCCACTCCCGCATACTCCAGTCAATCCATCTCACATGCATGTGCTACCTTAATTGATAGCGGTTGAGCATGACTGCATGAGCCGCCTGCATGTACAACCCACAGACGAGGGTTTGTCTCTAAACGCCTCGAATCTATCATACAGACAGGTATAAAGACATATCATATAGGAGTAATCCATAGATAGTGGTCCGTCTCTAAGCTGTTTAATGCATTGCATTTAGCTAGGATCAACTATAAATAAATTTTTTATACCACTATATGGCTATTTGATAGAAAACGTATCAAGGATAAATAAGAGCAACATGATTATAATTAAGGTTGTCGCTTGTACACACTTCAGGTGGGAGCACCTCTGCGATGGATAACACATGTTTGCATTATGTTGATAACAACTGAGTTCATTCTAAAGAAGGGGGCAACAATTTTAGAACTGAAGCTTACAAATTCACAGACATCCACATTCAATCAAATGGCAGATAAGCTAAGTAGTCCATACTGATACATCATAAGCTTCAATCTTTATCCTTGCAGAAAATAACCAAAATAGCTAAGAAACACATAGTACAGCAAGATAGATAACACAAAGACACTGAGTACTATTTACAATCATTTGATACACAAGTACAGGAGGAAGATAGCTAACACAACCATTACCTTGCGCGATTTGGTGCCACAAATCCATCTCGTGCGAGTCACCAGATCCTCGCGCGCACAGCATCGATCCGCGCGTCGTCGACTGGCGGAGGCGAGGCGTACAACGGTGCTGAAGCCGTCGACTAGACCTCGGAGCACGAGCGTCCCCCGTCGTCTCGCGAGGCGACGCAGCCTTCATCTCCAGGCTTCGCCAGGGTGTTTCTTGCAAAATCTCCATCATAGAGATGGGTGAAAAGACCCGTTGTACGTGCCCTTAGCCGGACAGATCAACTTTTGTTTTATTTTTCTAAAAAAACGCCAGCAGGAAGAGACAAATAAACAGCCCTTCACGTCGGCAGCCGGCAAGATCACCACCGTTCCCTGTCGGTGGTCCATTTTTCCGATCAACATCCCCTTGTCGGTAGTCAACACAAAAGCGATGACTTCCTCTCTCGTAGGCTGTGTGTGTGGTTAGTTACCCACGTGCGTCATAGTAGGATGCCAAATAAATTTTGGCAACTTTGACCAAAATTGGACTTCATATAGGAAAAGCTAAGGTGATTTATGGCATCCAATCCAATACTAGGTTAAAACGCAAATACATCCATTTGTTTTAATCATTCCAATCCCTAATATCTCAACAGTAACTATTGTACTGTCTTTGTCTCTACTGTGACTTGAGGCACCATCTAGGCTACTTATCCTAAAATAAACCTAGTTGCCTCTTATGAAAAGAGGTCTCTCCGTGGGCGGTCATAAGTTTCATATCAGTTCCTAGCTTTATGATTGGACTCCCATGCTTGCATGCGAGATTGCACCTACGTTGAGTATGCTTGCACATATGCACAAGCCGACGTGGACCTGTGCATGGCCATATGCATCTCACATAAAATATGCATTGTTTACGACTAAATTATAGATAGCACTATTATCGTCAGTCTCTTTAGAGACAGCTGTAGATGCTCAATAAAGACGGCTGTTGGTGCTCTATATAGATGGTTGGGCCAGCCGTCTCTACTCTTAAGTTGCTAGAGATCATCGATTTTTAGAGGCGGCAGGCAATAACAGCCTTCCCTAGAAACTGATTTGTAGATACTAGATACTGTGGTAAATCATAGTCACTCTACAAATTGTTTACCAGAAATCATCCAGAAACCATAAATTAAATCGGCCAAAAAAAGTATTTTTTAATCAAGGGACCCATTTTTCACACAAAAATAGGCGGGACTGAAACCAGAGACCTATGATCTTGCGGATAGCTGCTTTACCCACTCTACCCAAAGTCACATGTGTCTATAAAACATATTAATTTCCTCGTACTCACTTTTGAAATGAGTATTTGGGACTCTAATTGTATTCAAATAAAAAAAATTCAGCTGTAAAGTTGTAGATGTCGTTTAGTACTGCAACTGTGGTCTAGGCCGTTTCTCCAACCGAGTTCATTTGGAAATTTTGAATATCAAATGTAAGAAATTCAAACATAATTTTTTTGGATAAATGATTTCAAATTTAAAAGTTATCAACAACAAAGTTTCCTCAAACATAATTTTCTTTAGACAAAAAAATTGTCAACAACAAAGTTTCAAATGAAAAGTTACCAACTGCGATATTTTATATCTTTTCATGATATATACTCCCTCTGTCCCTATATACCCGGTGTACAAGCCCGGATTACAGAGACCAAGACGGTCTCGGGAATATGTGAAGCGCATTAACTCCGTAGGTCTGATTAGCACCGTGCCGCCGGCCACGAAGTCGCTTGCATGCAGCGAGGTCACAACGACACTTCAGCTCCATCTCATGCAAAGAAGTAAATGACGGAGGAGTACTAGCTTGCATGCAATATCACTTCCTAGACTGGACGAGTAAATGACGGACGCCTCGGCGTACATGCACCGCCTGGTGCTGTGGCCAATTTAAAAAACGGCTGTACGCCGGGTATACAGGAATGGAGGGAGTAGCATGGTTTTAGTCATTTCCACATCCATGGTTGTTTGGAAATCTTGAAAATTTTGAATTTAAAAATATGAGAACTTCAAATAGAATTTGCTGCATCCAAATTATTTCTAATGAAACAGCTGTTAAATACAAAGTTGTATATCTCGAGATATACAGCTTTGATATAAGGATTGTCTTCATCCCACTTCATTTGAAAAAGTATATGAATTTTACTGTGTTACACCGATTTTTAGAAAAGACAGAGATCTAGCCACCTATATTAATTCATTTGTAGAGGAGGTTACATCAAGAGCCGCCTCTAAAGATATGGGCATTTGCAAAGGCGGCTCAAAATAGCAACCGTCTCTACAAATGCATTTCTGGAGGCGGCTCTAGATGGAACCATTTTTAGATGCAGCTATAGATTGAGCCGCCTTTACTTTGAAAAAACCGCTGTTTATATAAATCATAAAGGTAGTAGTGTAATATATATTTGAGTTGTTTTTGTTTTTTGTTCAATCATCGGCGGTTGCTAGGAAAGTTCACGTGCCTCGTGCCTATTTGGACTGCCCAACTAGCTACTCATCCTCATGTGATTACCAGTTTATGTCATGTCATATGTTGTTTGTATATGTTGCATATTTTCTTTAACATGTACCATGTCTTTATATATTCCATCTGTCTCCTATAAATGCACATCTTGTATATCGAGAGATCAAACTTTTTTAACAGAGGCAGTCGTCTTGGAACACCAGTCTTTGTCAATTTTCAGAGGCAGACATCTTAAGATGCCCGTCTCTAGAAATGGCTATTAAAAAAGATAGCCATTCCAAGCACTCGTGTATAAAAACTGATTGTCAGAGGCGGGCATCTTACAATACTTGTGTCTAAAAATAGTTTCGTCTAAAAACAATGCATAACTTTTTTGTATGAATTATCAAAATTCTTGCTGTCGACATGATCTACAACTTTGTAGTTGAGAGTTTTTTTTATTTGAACCTGTTTTAGAGACTACAAATATTGTTTAAAGTTCATGGATTTTTAAATTTGAAAATTTCAAACAACCTGAGATGTTGACAAGGTGTACACAAAAGTTGTTCTCAATACAATATAGAACGTTGTAGTGGAAACTTTTTTTTTATTTGAAGTCGTTTAGAGTCCCAAATATGTGTCTTAAGTTAATAACTTTTGAAATTCTAAATTTAGAATTTTCAAATAACCTTGAATGTTCACAAAGTTAATACCAAAGTAGTAGTGCCCACCTGATATATATGTTCGTTGTTGATAAGTTTTTAACTTGAAATTTTTAGTTTCCCAAATAATTTTTTTAATTCATATATTTTGATATTCAATTTTTTTTTATTTTTTCAAACAACCTCCGATGCAAATACATTCTATACTAAATTAAGTCAAAGTTCTTAACAATATTTAACACTATGTATTTGAAACTTTTTTGTTTGAGTTCATTTAGTATCAAAATATTGAATACAATATTACAAAAGATTGATATAAAATGATAGCAGCCTATATATATAGTCAAAATTGAATTGCGGTGTAGTAGTAGGGAGGTGTTATGGATGAGAAAATGGTTTTGGGTTCAAATCCTCAAAGATGCTAAATTTAGATATGTTTGAGGTTTCTATTACACCAATCCACTTCAGTGGCCCATACATCACTTTGATTGGCCCAATACATGCAAGATGTTGAGTGGCCAGCTGGTGCCACAATTTGACCATCCCAGATGGAATCTACTTTTGCTAAAGAGAAGATGGAATCCATTCAAGGGACTCAAAGAAATACCTTAATTGATATACTAATTAATGATAGTTCACATCAGAAATACAGAAAAATAACCATCTGGACTAAAATAAACCAATATTACTGCTAGAAGATCATATAAAAAATAAAAAGCCACAAGATCATCAATTTTGATTGCATTTATTTCCTGTGTTTCTTGCCTGCTACAAAAGACAATACTATAGAAAGGATTTGTAGGAATGCCTCTTTTTTTAGGGGGCTCTATATTGAGCCGGCCCTACAAATGGTTTCTAAATGAGCCGTCCATACAAATCCATTTGTAGGGGCTGCTGGTGTTATCAGCCACCCCTACAAATGGTCTTATTTGTAGTGAGGGCCTCTCCGTATTTGCCAGGTTGTCATACTGGGTGGCTGACTGGTGGGGACCTCCCTGGATTAAAAACAATTCCTATTCTTTTGGCCTAGATTTCAGAATTTTTGGAAACGTATTTGTAGGGTCGGCTCCATATCCAGCCAGCCCTACAAATCGTGCACCGCTCCTACAAATACGATTTGTAGGGATGGCTAGCGAATCGCCCCTACAAATCAGCGATTTGTAGCCACGCTTCCGAAGAGGCGGCTGACCAAACCGCCCCTACAAATGGGCATGAACCGCCCCTACAAATGATATATGTAGTAGTGAGAGTAGTCGCTATAAATAAAGGGTGAGTTTGGTAATTTCACTTTGTTCTTATAACTATACTGTGGCCAAGCTCTTGCTACCCTTTTTATTCTTAGAAAAAAGATCTTGTATCGTTGGTACAGTTATGCTATGCACAATGTTATAGCATGATAAATACGTTGCATACACGTTGTGCTTGCCCATGACATACACATCAACAAACAACCACATCAAATATGTTCTCATTATGGGTACCAAATACATCGAAATCGACATAGCACAATGGAAACACCAATAGTGCTCCAGTATATTTCAGAACAGAAGCTACATGGATCTCAAGGTACTAAAGCTGACCAGCCCAGCTGCTCTACATCCATGAGACTCTGCATAGGAAATGAGGCACCCCATTTATTTTACATTATCTTCGCATCACATCATCCAGCAAATACTGAACCACACATTTATTAGCATATTGATCGATTTTTATTTAGAGGTGTGCTGCCTTACGGGTAGACTTCGATGACACCACGAGCTCCTATTTTCTTAACAACCTTATAGTCAGAGAAACCAGCTTTAGTGAAGATCTGGCGCCAGTCATTTTTAGTACGCTGCCTACCTCTGGTATTCACCATCATGAGCATGTCCATCAAGAGTTGGGCTTCGTACATTATTGGGCCCATGTAAGGCTCAAGAAGTATTTCTATAATGATCATCTTCCCTCCCTCTTCTCTAGAAGGAATTGCCTTCCTGCATTGCTTCAGGATCTTCACACAATCCTCGTCGCTCCAAAAGTGCAGTACAAGCTACAGAACATAATGCCATATACAAGTTTAACACTTCATCATAATTGAATCTATCAATTTTAATGTACTTTGTAAAATAATGGGCTATGAAATCTAGTGGTGTCTATCTATATCTAATATTAAAGAGGCAACAAACTCTTGCCCTGTTTGCTTGGCTGATAAGTCATGGCTGAAAGTACTGTTGGCTGATTTGTCGTGAAAGAAAATACTGTTCATTGACTGAAAAAGTACGACTTATAAGCCAAGTGAACAAGACGTCTATTTCTATTTTTACTGTACTGAAGCATGCATGTGAGAGAGAATCCGTACCTTGAGCATCACAGCCTGAGCAGGCGGGATGGTGTGGAACAAATCACCCGTGACATTGCTAACAGCATCATCAGATGGTACTGCTACAGGTGTCGTCGTCTCAACAACCCTTGGAAGGTTCAGCACAGTGCATTTGATGTCGGGGAACGCGCTGATGATCGCCTTGGCACTGGTGTTTCCCTGTCTACCACAGCAATAGGTCAGCGAGTGGAGGCCACTGAAAACATCACTGCACTCCCGTATAATCGTCCCGATCGCCAGGTTATCATGCGCCGCGACACCTTCTTCCACGATCCTGTCAAGCTCTTCGTCGAGGAGCTTGGTGCTCTCATGGACGAGAGGCACACCGTGTAAATCCTCGAACGGCGATGGCGGCGGCTCAGGCAGATCCTTCCTGAACCAGTCGGCCAGAGAAAGGCCGGCCTCAACGTAGTGCCGGGAGACGGTGGCGAGCACGAAGTACTTCTGGTAGGTGTGGTCCTCCGATTCCACACCTTCTACCAGGAGCCAGGAGAGTGGGTTGAGGCGGTACACGGCCTCTGCCCCATCTCCATTGCTGCCGTCAGACGCGAAGATCCCCGACGTGACCAGCAGCCGCATCACGCGGCCGAGGAATGGAAGCTTGGTCTTGGGGAGGGACAGCGCGGTCACCAGCTCCGGCAGCGTGGTGGCCCCACCTAGGTCATGTATGGCGGTCGGGATGTGGAGCTCCACCGCGCACTTCAGCGCCATGGACGTGAGGTAGTAGAGGCTGTGGCGCCATAGGTCGGCTTGCGCCTGCAGCAGCTCGGCATCCGTGGGAGCCATGGCTTGAGAAGGAGCGGCCATTTTTGGTATCTCAGTCACTCGCTGTGTATATCTTTCTTGCCGTATATGTGCGTTGGTTTGGTGTTCCAAGGCTTGTTCCGTACTTGGGTTTAAATAGCTGCTGGCTGAGCAATCCATCCAGGTACACTTGTGCTTGGTTAATTAGGTCTTGGTCTAGGTCTAAGTAGGTAGTTGAGTGTTATCACAAAACATCAGACGCCATTAGTTTTATGATCACGTGGGGGTGGGGGGTGGCAAATTTGACTCGGTGATTGAGTGTATTGCATATAAATCAGTAAACTATGGAGCGCGTTGTCGGCAAGGTGGTCGTGGCAGTATTAAAATCATTATTTGCAGATATTCGAATCCTTGTGTATCTTGCACAAATGGGTAAAATTAAGCGCATGGAGTTGCCATGCATTATACTCTATCCGTCATTTTGGCTTTTTCTATATACATTGCTTTTTGCTATGCATTTATTAGATATACGTTATATCTAAATACATAAAACATGTCAGAACCCCTTACAATTTGTAATAGAGAGAGTAGTAAGCCTTAACACTTGTTTATTCGTCCACGGCAAGATCTTGCAGTGTGCACGAAGGCACGTCGCCCATCAGCTATAAGATGCTACACAAGAGAAAGTAGCATACAAGTACACTAAGACAGTGCTTGGTTCCCTGATAACGTAAACGGCATGGGAAATAGATCGCGGGGGGAGCAGCACTGGGACCGATGATTACTTTCTTTGTTTAGTTTGGTATGGTAACGTAATTGTGCAGCACTCGGAGCGATCCGCAGTGGCCGGTACGCGATACAGCTCAGGAAGGCGAGGAATCAGTGGTGAATACGGCCGTATCTGATTACGTCTATCTGATTGCGGCCTGAGCGTGACCAAACACGAGTATCGCTTTCCATTCCCTTCCAATAACAAGTAACGTTACATATTCATGAACCAAACACGTCGTAAGATGCTATAAGCAGAAATTAGTATATATGCTTTGGATGTACAACTTAAACAGTAATTGAAGAGTAGCACACAAGTACACGGCAGTATATACTAATAAGAAGCTCTACATTAATGCATCGCATGCCACCTTGAGATCGGCAACCTTATCCTGACATTATGTTGGCCACAAGTAAAATAGCCTTTTCAGTGCCGAGATCAGTCAAGGCTTTAAATTAGAGGTTTGAAACAATCTATATGATGTTACTACTGGTGCTCTAAATTATTGGACAAAGACAGTACACACAAAGTGAAATGGCTCTAAATAATTATTGGAGAAGACAATACACTTTTAATTAGGTAGCTGATTAGAATGAACCAATCAGTGATGTTACTGATTTTCAAAAAAAAAAAGAATCAGTGATGTTACTGGTGCTTTAGATTGCTGGGGAAGGCAAGGTGGTGTCAGTATTAAGTTTATTATTTGCAGGAAGTCCAATGCTTATGTGTATCCATACAGTAAAGAGTAAAATTACGGCGCATGGAGCTGCCATGCATTCCAGTCCCTCAATTTCAAATTGCATGACGTTTTGTCTTTTCTAGATGCATAACTTTTGCTGTGCACATCTAAACATATGTTATGTCTAGATACATTGGTAAATAATACAGATAAAAAAGTCAGAATGACTTACTATTTGGAACCGAGGGAATAGTGTAGTAACACTGGTTTATACTCGTCTATGGCAAGAGCACGCAGTGTGCACAGCGCGGCCCGTCCCCGATATAAATTGCTATACACGAGTAATTAAAAAGCAGCATACAAGTACACTAAGATGCTATAATAAGAAATAAATTAGTATCCGTTGCATGGACAGGATTACCGGTAATTAATAAAGAGTAGCATACAAGTACACGACAGAGTATACTAATAACAAGCTATAAGAAAGAAATTAGTATCGTTTGCAACTACTAATATCAAGCGCTAAATTATGTATGTCATGCCACCTTGAGATTGGCACCCCTACCGTGACGCTATGTTTTTTTGACGGCAAACCGTGACGCTATGTTGGCCACCAGAAAATTGGCCTTTTCAATGCCGATAGTCAAGGCTTTAAATTAGCCATAGTAAAAAAAAAATCTGTGATGTTGCCGGTGCTTCGAATTTTTTGGGAAGACAATACACAAGTTGAAATGGATCTTCTAGATATACATGGTGGATAGTACGCCACGCGACTTGCCCCTCTCGCTCGGGATGCCCTAGCGCCGCTGCTGCTTTCCACCACCGTTGGTTCCCCTCCCTTCTCCCTCTGGCATCTCGCCGGAGGCCCGAGGGAATAGGGATCCACCATTTTTAATAAATTTTCTAGTAGATCGAGTCTTTAAGGTTAGGGTTTCTCCATGCCAAGTTTCTTGGTATTGGGGATTTATCTGCTTCTCATCTCCGACGACGATAAGAGGACATGGTGGAATCATTTTCGCCATGGTGGCTCTGTTGAAGATGGGAGCGACAACTATGGCGTCAGCAGCTTCATCGGCATGACGACATGGAGAGTTATCTTTCCGGACGGCGACGTCAAGGCGGAGATGATGTCGCCGCCATGAAATAATTTTCTTCGTTCTCTTCTCCATTTCGTTGTGGTTAGATCTGGCCACGATAAAGGACTAGGGAGAAAAGGTTTTAGATCAATCTTCCTCATTTTTCGGTGGTAGAAAGAAGAAGGAAGACACAAGAAAGAAGTTTCTCAACTCTGCCTGCAGGAATGTTGGCCGTCGTTCGTTGGGCATCTGTTCTCAGGCCTTTTGCCGAGTGTTTGCCTGTGCGGTCATCCATACGAAGCGTCATACCGGTTTGGATTTGAGATTTGGAGCTATTCACAGTGTGGGTACAATTTAGATGAAAATCAGTTTCTGAATATATATAGTGTATTCCAGAGTGCTTGTAATATGATGATGTACCCAACTATAATATAATGTAATTCTTCTTTCATCTAAAAAAAAGATATACATGGTGGACGATTTTTGTATGAAAAGCGACATGCCGGACTCAAATTGGTTGTCTTGTACAGTGCTGTATATTGCAAGAAAAAAAACCGCTATTAATCGTGTCCACACACAACCGGTCCAACTTAGTTCTTCAGAGGTGCTCATAAGGGTAGGGTGTACGTGCGTGTATTCATAGGAGTGAGTGTGCGCTCGTGTATGTGAGTGTCTACGTCTGTAACTGGGTCTCGCAAAAAAAATCTGCATTTTTCATCTTGTCATAAAATGAAGTATAAAAGATTGTCCTTATGAAATTGATATTGCATCATCTTGACATCTTCAAATGCTTATTTTTGTCTAGTGGACTTAAAATGAATGAATGTAAATGGATTAAATAAATTAGGAATTATACAATCTACATCTTCTGCCCTAAAAAAGTCATTAATTATAACCTTGTCCCAATTCAAACCATATTAAGTTTGACAAGTCCATATAGAAGAAAATAAACATCCTATAAAAAATATTTTATAGATCTAATGACACTTATTTGATATCATATCACAAACATAGGTACTTTTTTACACTTTTCATCAAAACTACGATAGTTTAACTTAAGACGACTAGAATAATGACTCTTTTTGGGGTGATGAGATCATACCAATGGTGTGCATATGGTAGGATCCACAGGTCAAATTGGCAACAAATCTGGAGTTCAGCATTACTCTGTCACACAATCATAATTACAACACTTTATTAGAAAAAAAATCATCGAGAAGAAGTCAAAAGTAAGCTGCAAACTGCAGCCAGATTGATTATCATCATATAATCACTTTAAATAAAAGATAACATATATTTGAGACAATCAGCTTGTTCGCTGGTTCGATAAGCTGCTTGTGCTGGTTTATACGGCTGATTTATTGTGAGAGAAAAACACTATACCATGACTGATAAGCCATAGCTGAAACCAACAAACGAACAGGCTAATTATGATCGTATGGTAATCTTTTACGTCTGCATCACATTTGGATTTCCTCCAATCAAACAGTTTGGCCCAACACACTGCATTAAGATGGCGTAAATTCTACATGATCAGTACACAGCCCACATGTATCATCGTCACCGTGCACATAATTGCTCCACAGGATTATGGTGGGCTGGACCGACTGATCAGAGGTGGATTATACACGACGGCATCCCATCCAAGATCAGAACTCTATTATAACCAAATAAAAAAAACATACATACTGTAGAAGCCGATCAGGATAGGACTTTCTATCACGAAATAGGAAACATAGCTGGAAGACGCTCAGGATAGGGCTATCTATAACCCTAACCCCAAACTATATAGGACGTAGGGAATTACTAGTGCTCGGACGTCCGGAGCACATGAGCGCGTCTAGACGCCTAGCGCATGCTGCTGCCCTAGCCTGCCCGCCCATGCCTGCCGCTACACCGTATCGATGCTACACGCGCACGTCCGTCCGCCGTCTGCATCGCCCTGCCCTGCATGCGTACCCCACTCCTGTCCGCCTCGCCCTGCCCTGCACGCGCATCCCGGCTGCGCCTGCCGCCACACCATAACCCTGACGCCGTCCTCTCTCCGCGTGGGCGGGACCAGGGAGCCAGGATGAGGATAAGCACGTGAAAGCCCTAGTTTGGTTTTGGATAATTGATGAAACCTATGGGCTAATCCTAGTGCTAAGTGTGTAGGCAAGAGAGGATAGTCCATTCCAAGTGGTGGAGCAAGAGGATAATCATGGTGGATGGTGATGACCAAAAGATGATCAAGTGCTCAACTTGGAAAAGAAGAAAGAGAAAAACAAAACCCTATAGAGAGCAAAGGTATTTCTTAGGGTTTTGGTTTTCGTGATCAAGAAACTATAAAGAGTGTGATCACGTTTATGATCGATAGCCGTACCATAAAGAGGGAAAATCTTTGGCTAAGCGGTTATCGAGTGCCACTAGGTGACATAATTCTTGCATATGCATTTAGGAACCTAGTTGCTAACTTCGACCCATGTAAAATGCTTTGAAAAATGCTAATACACGTGCACACAAGTTCTACACTTTGTGTTTAGCAAGTTAGAAGCAAGGG